TTTTGTATTTTTAGTAGAGACGGGGTTTCACCATGTTGGCCAGGCTGATCTCAAACCCCTGACCCTGTGATCTGCCCGCGTCAGCCTCCCAAAGTGCTCGGACTTCAGGCGTGAGCCACTGCGCCCGGCCTAAATTTTACATTCTAAAGGGCAACTTTTATGGTATGTGAATTACACCTCACCTTTAAAAATCATAAATACTGTGAAGGCTACAAATATGTAAGTGTGTGACTGTATGTATCATAACAAGGAATTAAGCCACTGCGGTTAGATATTACCTGCATTTCAGGTTACTCGTGTAGATTCTCCGAAATGAATAACCCTTGGGAGACATTGCCAAAGCATTTTCTTTCTTTTTCTTTTTTGAGATGGAGTCTCCCTCTGTCACCCAGGCTGGAGTGCAGTAGTGCAGTCTCGGCTCACTGCAACCTCCGCCTCCTGGGCTCCAGCAATTCTCCTGCCTCAGCCTCCCAAGCAGCTGGGAGGCCACAAGCACACCCGGCTAATTTTTGTATTTTTAATAAAGACAGGGTTTTGCGATGTTGGTCAGGCTGCTCTCGAGCTGTTGACTTCAGGTGATCCACCAGCCTTGGCCTCCGGAAGTGCTGGGCCTGCAGGCGGGAGCCACTGCGCCTAACCAGCTTTTCTTAATCTTGATGAATCTGAGGCAAATGGAGAAACTTTGTCATCGCGATAAATCATCAGTAAACACCTTTTCCTATATTACCTGTGCATGTCCTGGGTCCATTGGTTTATTGGGATATGAGTGTTTTCCATTTAGTTATTTATTTGAGGTGGGGTCTTGCTCTGTTGCCCAGGTTGGAGTGCAGTGGTGTGATCACAGCTCTCTGCAGCCCTGACCTCCCAGGCTTAGGTGATCCTCCTGCCTCAACCTCTCCAGTAGCTGGGATTACAGGTGCACACCACCATGCCTGGCTAATTTTTGTATTTTTTTGTAGAGATGGGGTTTCGTTATTTTGCGCAGGCCGGACTCAAACTCCTGGCCTGTAGCAATCCACCTGCCTCAGCCTCCCAAAGCGCTGGGATTACAGGCATGAGCCACTGTGCCCAGCCTTCCTCCTAGATTTTCTTTTCTTTTTTTTTTTTTTTTGAGACGCAGTCTCCATCTGTTGCCCAGGCTGGGGTGCAGTGGTGTGATCTTGACTCACTGCAGCCTCCGCGTCCTGAGTTCAAGCAATTCTCCTGCCTCAGCTTCCCGAGTAGCTGGGATTACAGGTGCCCGCCACCACGCCTGGCTAATTTTTGTATTCTTTTTAGTAGAGACGGGGTTTCACCATGATGGCCAGGATGGTCTCAATCTCTTGACCTCGTGTGATCCGCCCGCCTCAGCCTCCCAAAGTGCTGGGTTGACCTGAACCACTGCTCCCCGCCCCTCCTGGATTTTCTAACTACAAATCCGAACGTCCGTGGGGCCTGGTTGGTGGTCCCCTCCTGTTCTCTCTTCCCGGGACTGGTGAAGGAAGGGTGGATGGGATGGCGTGGGGACGCGGTGGGTCATCATGGCTGGAGCCGAGCCCGGGGCACCTGCCCGCACCCTGGGAGCTCCCATCCGGCAAGCCCCTGGCCAGGGAGAGAAGGAATAGTCCAGAACCAGGGGCAAAGGGCAAGTGAGGCTTTTTATTGTGTATGAATTCACGTTGTGTCAACAGCTCCACACAATATTCAAACACTGTGAGAAAGTGGGTGTGGCACGCCTGGAATTTTAAAAAAGTTCAGAAATAAAAACAGCCAGACATCCCAGTGCAGACAGCATAGAGCCTGCTGGAACCACAGGCGGCGGGGACACAGACAGGTCTTTACAAAGGTCAGATCGGCAGCGGTGTCCGCGGACAGAGAAGGCGGCGCAGTTGGCCGGCGTATGGCTTCTGTGCGGAGGGCCAGCCTCAGGTCGTGCGTGGATGTTTTAAGTGGCCCCCGGAGAAAGGGCGTGGTGGCTCTCCTCGGCCTGGAAGCCCCTCCCGGGTCACTCACCCACGAGCGGGGCTGTGATGGCCCTCTCCTGCCTGTCCCGGAGCTAGGGTAGGACAGGGGCTGTTAACTTGGATACAGTTGCGTGGCTAGAGGCCCCGCATTGTGCCCCCCGACATGGTGGCCGGCCCGTGGAAGGGACCACGGAGAAAGGGGGAAAGAGGAGCACCTTCCACCCTGACCCAGCCGCCCCGTTTATGCCCCAGAGGCCGGAGGTCACAGCTGAGCCGTCTGTGCTTGACCTGGGGTTACCCTGGGGACAGTGGGATGCGTGGTCTGGCTCCTTCCTGGAGAGAGGAGGGCAGGGGAGCCTGAGCTGGTCCGGGAAGGACGGGCTGCGCTTAGCATCCCTGGAAGGCCAGGTGGGTCACTATCCAGTGGGGGCCAGGCCAGGCGTGGCCCTTTACCTGGCACCTGGTGACTTGCTCAGGGCAGAAGGCCGGTGGGAGACCCAGGCTGCAGAAGAAGGAGAAAGGTCCTCCTCTCTCCCACCGACCCTGCCTTGCATGTGTGTGTGTGCGCGCGTCTGTGTGTGTGTATGCGCGTGTGCGTGTGTGTGTGTGTGCATGCGCGCGCAGGTGGGGGTGAGTGCCTTTACTTTTCTCGCAGCATGGCTGAGGACCGCTGGTCTCCCTAATGCTAGAGCGGCTGCTGCCACCCCCGCCCGCCAGCTCCCTGTCTGGAGGGGCATCCATGCTCCTGGAAACGCCTATAAAACACGCGTTCACCCCAGGCGTTCCCAGCGGAAAAGCCCACGCAGCGGTCGGCGTGCGCACTTGGGTGTCACGTCTGCAAAGGTATTTTCCACAGTGTGGTCACTGAGATTTACTCGAAAATTAAAAAAAAAAAAAAAAAAGTGGATAATTTTTTTTCCCCCAAGCTAGAAAGAAACCCACAGGCTTCTGGCCATGGTGGCCTCCCTGGGGTCCGGGAGACGGTGTGTCTGGACAGCTCAGGGAAGCCAAGGCCCCCGTGGACAGTGAAGGAGAGGCCAGCCTGTCCTTCCCCTCCCTGAGCCTCAGTTTACCTGGAATGCTCAGACTCCAGGCTCTCTGACTTCTGTGCAGAGGCCGGTCTGTGGGGTGGGAGGACGTGGCTTTGGGGCTTTTGGAGCTGAGCTCCCTGGAAGCTGGGGTTTAGCCCCACCGCCTCCAGCAGCCTGGGAGGTTGTATCTCTGCGGCAGCCTCTATTCCCTGCTAGCATTTCTGGGGTCACATCGTGAGGATACGCAAGTGGGGCCGGGCTTGGCACAGCTGTGCCCCCTCTTCCCTCTGCCCTGTCGGGGAGCGGGGCTCGGGGTTTAAGGCCTCTTTTAAGCAAAAACGGGGTGGGGTGCGTTTGTTCCCAGGTACCAAGATGGCTTGTTGGAAAGGGTGGAGGCGGCCGAGTCCCCCCTCCCTGCCTGGGGTCCTTCCCAGGGTTTCCGGGACAGGCTTTTGTCTCCTCCTGCCATTCCTGCTAGGGTCGGTGGGGACGCCCACACCCCAGCCCCACCGGCTCCCAGCCCGACCGCAGGAGGCCACAGTTTCCCGGGAGCCCCTGCAGCTCTCCTGGGCCAACTCGCAGGTTTGCCCGGGGAGGGCTCCCCGAAGCCCCAGCCCCCCCGGACCAGCCGTAGAGAGCTGGGTGCCGGGCAGGGGAAGCCCGGCCGTGGCCTGTGGGGGCCGCCCGAGGTTGGGGAGTGGAGGTCACTGCCCCCACACCTGCACACACACAGAGCCCTCGAGCCTTGGTGAGGTGGGCACCCCGTCTGTGAGCAGGGAACCCCTGCCCCACGGGCCTGCACAGAGGACCTGGGCAGCCGTCCAGGAACTCTCTGGGCACGGGTTCTTAGATGCCAGTTTCCACTGGGGCCGGAAGGACAGAAGTAGACTAGTTTTCTCTACCACCTGCCCCGCAGTGGGGGTCGGGGTGGCTGGGCCCCCTGTGATCAGCGCTGCTTGGGTTCTGGCCGCTCAGGATCCATCTCAGATGTGGCTGCCCCTGCTCCCACATGCCGCTGAAGAGGACACAGTCACCTTGCAGAAGCCCCCCGCCCTCCACCCCCACCCCATGACATCGTCCATTTCCACTGGCTGCTGGGAGGGGCCACCCGTCCTGCACCTGGCGCGTCGCCCGGCCTGGGACAGCTGCTCTGGGTTGCAGGGGTGGAAAAGCAAAAAGACGGTTCCAGCGACATGAGAACGTTTTGAGCCGATGTTTCCATCTCTGGGACGAAAAGTCTCACCTCCCAGAGTCCTTCACAGTCACTTCAAGGTCATGTCACAACTCTGTACACACAGCAGCACAGGGTGGCTCCCCATTTCGACCCGCTGCGCCTCCCCGGGCTGCATTTCTATTTGAAAAATGTCCACAGTGGATGCCAGAAGGTGGGACAAACCAGGAGAGCCAAGGACGGTGGAAGCCTCTCCTGGCCACATGGACGCCTCGTGCTTAAAACAAGCCTGGCACAGGGGGGAAGCCGAGGCGGGCGGATCATGAGGTCAGGGGTTTGAGACCAGCCTGGCCCACAAGGTGAAACCACGTCTCTATTAAAAATAGAAAGTTAGCCAGATGAGGTGGCAGGCTCCTGTAGTCCCAGCTACTCGGGGGGCTGAGGCAGGAGAATCACTTGAACCCGGGAGGCGGAGGTTGCAGTGAGTCGAGATCACGCCACTGCACTCCAGCCTGGGCGACAGAGCAAGAATCCATCTCAAAAAAGGAAAAAAACCAAAAAACAAAAAACAGACGGGCCAGGCCGGTGACCACTCTCCTGGGGCAAGTACCGAAAACCCATTTCTGGCACAGAGGGGACCCTGCAGAAAGGACCCATGGCGAACGCCACACGGGGGAGTGACACTCGGCAACTTTTCATAGACAAAGCCCCCGCCCGACCCGCTTCGCGCATTCATTACATGATGGTATTATGGTTTAGTGACGGGTTTGACCCTCACATCCCCAGTTTAGCCGTATGGGTAACGATGTTTTAAATGGAGAGATCTTTCCAAAGCAGTTCGCGATGTCACGTTCCCCCCAAACTCAATGTCACCTCTACTTAAAAACAATAAAAGGCATGCCAGGGACCCGGTGAAGTCCTTTTACAAATGGCCAATTGCCCCAGAGCGACTGCCGCCAGGCGAACTCACCCCCCTCCTCCGCTCGAGTCTCCTCCCCAATCAAAACGGCCATTGAGAGTTTTACGGGAAGTGGCCGTAAAGCCTCCACCCGCTTTCGGCCAGGCCCAAACTGAGAGGGCCACGGGGTTGGAGCTGAAAATCCATCAACACCTAGAAGGTACATCCTAGCCCATCCCGGCAGTGGGAATGCCTTTTTTTTTGGTGGGGGGATTTCTTTTGGAATTAAACGTTTTAGGGACTCGAGATGTTTTGTTTCAGCTAAGTACTGAATAACGCCCTGCCTGAGAGAGCAAGAGAGAGAGAGACAGAGAGAGAGAGAGAGAGAGTGCACGTATGAGAACACAGCTATAAAATAATACAAGGTTTCTTGTCCTTAAAGGGGTTCTCGGAGGCAGGGACTCCGACCAGCAAGGGGTCGTTCCGGGCGTGTTGCTCACAGTAGCTCATGAGGTCAGATGCTGCTTTGGAGACCTGTGATCGGGCACAAGGAAGAAAGAGAGATAAGAGGCCATACACCCGGGTTCACAGCAGCACCGTCCCCGACAGCCACAGGCAGAAACAGCCCAGGAGCCCATGGACGGGGGCGTGGGCAAAACATGTGGCCCAGCCACACCCTGGAATATTACTCAGCCATGAAAAGGGGCGCGGCTCTGACACAAGCCACAGTGTGGATGCATCTTAAGGACCCCATGCTCAGGGAGAGACGCCAGACACAGAAGACCAGGAAGTCTGTGATCCATCCTTCCTCCCTTCCTTCTTTCCTTCCTTCCTTCCTTCCTTCCTTCCTTCCTTCCTTCCTTCATTCCCTCATTCCCTCCCTCCCTCCCTCCCTTCCTTCCCTCCTTCCTTCTTTCCTTCTTTCTTTCTTTCAGATGGAGTTTTGCTCTTGCTGCCCAGGCAGGCGTGCAATGGCGCGATCTCGGCTCACCGCAAACTCCGCTTCCCAGGTTCAAGCGATTTTCCTGCCTCAGCGCCCCAAGTAGCTGAGATTACAGGCGTGCGCCACCACGCCCGGCTAATTTTTTGTATTTCCAGTAGAGATGGGGTTTCACCATGTTGGTCAGGCTGGTCTCGAACTCCCAACCTCAGGCGATCCGCCCGCCTCGGCCTCCCACAGTGCTTGGATTACAGGCGTGAGCCACCGCGGCCGGCCCATCTGTTTGTTTTTGAGACAGGCTCTCGCTCTGTCCCCAGGCTGGAGTGCGGTGGTGTCATCACAGCTGCCTGCAGCCTCCACCTCCTGGGCTCAAGTGATTCTCCCTCCGTAGCCTCCCAAGTAGCTGGGACTACAGGAGTGAGCCACTACATCTGGCCATTATTTTTATTTTTTATTTAGTTTTTAGAGATGGAGTCTTGCTCTGTCCCCCGGGCTGGAGTGCAATGGCACGATCTTGACTCACCGAAACATCTGCCCCTCGGGTTCAAGTGATTCTCCCGAGCCTCAGCCTCCCAAGTAGCTGGGATTATAGGCGCGTGCCGCCACCACGCCCAGCTAATTTTGTATTTTTAGTAGAGACGGGGTTTCTGTTACCACCATGCCAGGGTAATTGCTGTATTTTCAGTAGAGATGGGGTTTCGCCATGTTGGCCAGCCTGGTCTGGAACTCCTGACCTCAGGTGACCCGCCGGCCTGGGCCTCCCAAAGTGCTGGGATTACAGGCGTGAACCATGGCACTCAGCCTGGCCAGTAGTTTTAGAATAATTTTCTTGTACAGAGGAGGGTCTCACTATGTTGCCCAGGCTAGTCTCAGACTCCTGGGCTCAGGCAATCCTTCCTCGAAGGACTCCAAAAGTGCTGAGGTTACAGGCGTGAGCTGCCTCGCCCGGCCAGTACATCTGCACCCCAGATCCTCCATCCTCTTTTGGACCCCAAGGATGCCTGGGACCTTGGCTCCTCAAACGGCCAGGAACCTGTGGGACAGCTTCGGGGTCTTGCCCAGCTGGGCAGCGGGGCGCGGGGAGGCGCATACCCATGAAGTGAGCCCACCGGCTGCGGCCTGGCTGGCTTTCTAGACTTCTATTTGGGAAGCGGCCCTCCTGGATGACAGAAATAGCCTCCAGACCGTGAAAATAGCTGGCATTGTGGCTCCAGCACTCGGCCCGTTCGGCACGCCCCCCGTGCCCGCCGTGGCGGGCTGCAGAGCCCCGAGATCCTGGCTGCTGAGGCTCTGTGGCTCTGGTCGCTGCGCTGCAGCTGGGGATGTAAAACCTCAGGCGCGATTGGGAGCGGGGACGGGTCAAATCCTGGCTCCCCCGAGGCCCAACATTCAAAGGGGCGGTGGGGGCCCCTCCTCGACATCAAACGGGGCGGGATGAATCACCGCCCTCCTCCGGGGCTGGGGGTTGGCACCGACTCAAAAAAGGAAAACCACTTCAACCAGGGCTTTCTCTTTCTTCAGCCCAAAAGAATGCTTTGAATGCTCAGGTCTGTCCTCAGCAGTCAGCTTTCTGGAACGTTCAGACACCTCGTGGGGGGCAGACCCCTCCCCTCCTGGCTGGATCTCGAGGGAGGCTCACCGGCTGATCAGAACCGTTTCGCCTCCCGCGCCTCCTGGCCGGCAGGGATGAGCCCGTCTGCCCCGAGGGCCGGGCACCCCTTCCCGTGGCCAGTGATGACAAGCTGAGGTCTGAATGGACATGTGGCGATGGCTGACTTTATGGCGCTCGAGGGCGGACCATGCTGCCCCGGTGTTTGGGTA